TGATGCTTGTGTAACTGGCCACTGTGGCTTGTGAACGCTCAGGAGGAGTTTCGGGAGGTTGTGCAGCCTTTATGTAGGACAGGGTGTGCTGGAATAGAGCTTTCAGCAATTCAAGGCTTGGGTTTTCTTACAATTAAGCTCTAAGGCGATTAATATGCAGGTTTGGGGAGGACATGCTGAGCAGTGAAGTACGCATTAGTTTGCCTCATCTGCATGTGTGTGAACACCATTTTGTACACGTGCTCACTGCGTTGTGGGGGGAGAAAAGGGTGTGAAATTTGGAGCTTGTTCCAGGAAGAACAGTTGGCTCCTTCTCCCTCAGGGCAAAACCAAGCTGGCCTGTTGCCCTGTTTTGGACACCTCGCTACCCTCTGCAGAGCGAGGCCAGTGCAACAGGAGGAGGAAGCAGGGATCTGCAGGGTGAGGAGGCCACTAATGCTGGCACCAGAATGGCAGTGTCCTCTGTGCATGAGCTGATGCCAAGCACAGCCAGGAAGCCACCAGAAGGGCTTTTTGCAGCCTGCTCCTTGCTGTGCTGGGTGTGCAAACGTTTTGAAAGAGGCAGGTTGGGGCCTGCATGGAAGCCTCTTCTACCTTTTATGATTGGAACAGCTTGTGAGGAGAAGCTGTCATTTTTTCCCAGGGTGTGTGGAACCAGTTTCACTGGTACAGCGTGCTGCTGCGCTCCTGAGCCAAAGCCTATCATGAAAGGGACTGTGACGTACCTGTGTGTGGTGCTCCTGATTTGCAGGAAGGGCGTGCACTGCAAGCTTGCAGCCTTTAGGTACTGTTTCAGCCATCTGCAGAGCCACCTATTTTTCTCCAAGGGCTGTCCCCATGCAGAATCATGGGATGCCAGCCATTAACAGTTTAAAGCACTGTTATAGAGATGCCACTTGACTTCCAGAAGGAAGATTTCTCATTTCATTGCTGGTTTTTTTTTTTTTTTTCTCAGTTATTGTCACAAATGGGACCTCTAATGCCTCTGCTTCTCTGGGATATTTCTCAGGGTGGTATTGCTGGCTTTCCTGATTTTATTGTGTCCTCTGGCATTTGGTGTTTTTCCTTAAACTGCAAGTTCTTTGCATCTTCTGAAAGCAGTATTCTTGGATTGCACAAAATATGGTTCTAATTCTGGTGATGAAAAAAGATTAAACTTGCTGGAGAAAAATAAACTTACAAACAAATCTGTTTCCACCCTTTCATTTTGTCTGTAAGGTTGACTCCCAATCATTTTAAACCCTTGCCATCAGCAGTGCTGCAGTAGCCACTGCAAACAGATCTCTCAAGTGGTTCAATAGAGAGTTAGACAAGTTGAGCTACCCCTCCTCACTGTGACTCTGTGTGGGCAGTGACAGCTTCTCTAGGCTCTGCTTATGAAGGTATTTCCTTTGTGATTGTTGTATGTCTTTGAGGACACAGAGAAAACCCGAATCTTTTTGGCAAGATCCTTACGAAACTTGCAGTTCTCTAAATTAAGTTTCAACTTAAAATTGCCTTTACAGTTGAGGACTAAAATATTTGGGGCTTTTGACTTGCCAGAATCTTGCTTGCAAATGATTTTTACTGAGCTGTTCTTCAAAAAAGTTTTGAAAGCCTGTAACTTCAGTGCAGTCAAGTAAAGTTGGTCTGGATCACAGGCGTGCCACGATAAAACAAGGCTGCACAACTTACAGGAAAAGAAGTTTCTTCATCTTGCTATGATCCATGTCCTCTTTTCCACTCCCTTCTGGTATTGCTAACATGCCAGGCTTGCCAAGAGGAATTAATGGGTATGGGCTCAACCCCGAAACTGAAGGGTTGTTGGAAACCACCTTCCATTTTCATTCATAAGTACTGTGTTTTTGGTGCTCCGCTCTGTCAACATTCTATTAGTAAGAAATTACTCAGAATTTTGGGGATGATTAAAAATGTGCAAAAACTTTTGAGTAGTGTTTACTTGTTAAGAAAATAAATGAAGGTATGTTTGGAGCAATTGGAAGCAGTCCAGCTTTGGGCCAAAAGCTGGAATGCTGTATTCCACTTTAAATTCGCCCTCTCTTGGCTCAAAAACTTTAGCATGTTAATTTGCTTAATTCTTCAGTTCTTGTGAAAAGAACTGTATGTGTGTTTCAGACAGTAAGCCAAGTATTTCACAGTCCTGCATGGAAAATCACTTTTTCACTGACACAAAAGTGGACTGACACCAAAATTTTATGAATGCTTATGTACATGCACAAAGTGTGGTGCACCATGCTCATGCAGATATGATGACATAAATGCATGTCTGCAGCTTTACATCCTCTAGCTTTCTTGTCTTGCTGCTTTCATGCAGCTCTGTATATGAAACTGAAAAATACAATAGAAGCAGCTTGAGAAACATATATAGGTCTATTCCTTCTTGCTACCTTCATTCTCATCAAATGTTTTTCTACCCATCAATTGGAATTTTCAAGGTAGGGATGGCAGAGAAGAGTAAAATCAATGAAAGCTGAGGTGTTTATTTTTTGCCATGTAAATGCTGCACTGAGGAGACATCAGTGTCTGTACTAGAAGTCCAGAACAAATATTGCCCTGTACTGATGGGTTGTTCGAAAATATCAGCATGCCCAAAACAGTTTTTCCCTATTGCTGTTTGTTTCCCCCAGATAAACAAATTTCACAATGGTTTACAACCCATCCCCAAAGCCTCCAGGCTGCTCTACTTGCTTTAGCTGTAAGTATGTGTGCAGCCTACGGGGTGGGATAATGCCATGATCCGTGTGCTGTGTTTAAAAATACTGTGGCTGTGCTTCTCGGTTGCTGCTGGAACATCAATGTGGTGATAAGTCCAGGGCTGGATGCTGAGTGCTGTGCCAGCTGCAGGGATTTCCAAAGGAGACTGGTGCTACTGGTATATGTCTAAGGTACCCACATGCCCCTTGGCTGAACAGGGTGTGCAAATTGTGCAGTTGTCTTCCTATTCTTGTAAGCCTGTGCAACAGGAAAATCATACATTCTTAAGCGTAAAACAAGAAAATGAGACAGCATAAATAAACCTGTGTTTCAGTTCCGTATCTGTGTGAAACTGAAGAAATATCAGCCAACGAGGTGTTGTGTTCTAAAGCATAAATATTTAATTGCCACTCTAAGGATAGACTGGTAAGGGAGGATGGAAAAAGTTAACCACACACTTATTTTGCTTGTGGGCAAAAGTCCAGCAGATCTTTCACGAGAGGGATAATTATGATACGATGGTGCAGAAATGCATGTGGTAGCACATGTGGATGCTGACCTGGCAGCTCCTGCCAGTGGTGATAGGGCTGTGCGATGCACAGAGTCATGTTTTCTTCTGGGAAGGTGTTGGAGGAAGGGCTGAGGGAATGGGATGGAGGTAGGAGGGGCAGGCCCAATTGCAGACCCTCAAGTTCTACATCATTAAGCATTCTGGAGAAATAATGGACGCTGGTGAAGGACTGGGGCGGTGGGTGACTGGTCTGAGTCTCTGAGCATCTTCTCTCCCCTCTCACCAAAGTCTGCTCTGGCAAAACACCTGATGGAAAGTGATATAATTTGCAGTCAGATGAGGACATGCATATTAATGTAGGCTGCAGGAGAGGGAGGAAGGAGGACTAGTGCAGGAAACGTTACGTTATGCGGAGAAACAGGCTCCTTGGCCACTTTAATTGGCCTTTTCGTTGCAGCTCCGTTTCTGGCTTTCACTGAGGGATTTTATATGGATGGAGATTTTTTTTTGTCCTTCTTAAATTATTTATTTATTTATTTACTTTTTCTTCCTCAGAGCGAGCAGTATGGTGGGAGAGCTGCAGAGGACACAGCCCTGGCAACACCATGATGATCAAAGCTGAAGGGAGGGCAGTGATGTCAGGGGCTCATAGCAAAGCTGCTGGGCGATGCAGCCTGGCTGCATGCAGAAGGATGACAGGCAGTGGAGGAGATATAGGGGTGTCAAAGGAACAATAGTGTGCAAAGATGCCTTTGCCTCACCTTTGAATGTGTTCTCAACCCTTTCAAAAAAAAGTATCGTGCCTAAGCAATAGGTATACCTACCTGTAACTACAGAAACACGTTTTGAATTGCTGAAATTACAACAAAGGGGCATGTTTTACATGCAAAACTTGTGCATGCGTTTTTGGTAGCATATGCCTTTTATTTCATTCAAAAGAAAGGCCTGTGAAGACTAGGAAAAGAAGAGGATACTGTCTCTTTATGAATACTAATAAGGAAATCAAGGGGGACAATGGCACTTCAAGTTTCATCTTTCCATTTCCTAGAGGCGCAAACTCTGCAAGTTGTCACCTTGGTGTATTCAGTGCCTCTTGAAGCACTAGACTCCTCCAGAGAGAATGTCAGCCCCAGCCCTGGGCAGTTTTGACAAACAGAGTATATATTGATACATGATAAAGTATGCTAGAAATCACCCCAGCGCTAAAGGCTACTATAGTTTTAATATCATCATTTGAATTAACAAGCATTCTGTGGAGAAATAATGAGCTTTCATTATTCAGAACATCATCCTTACCCCGGGAACTCAGAAACCATTAGCTCTTGAGAACTTAATGAAAAGATGATAAAGAATGTTTTAGATAAAAGTTTGAACGGGTGCACTTGGTAACTAAGGTAAAATATTAATGTTTCTCTCGGTGATGAATCGGTGTTGCTAAACTCGTGCTGTGGGAGGAGGCGGAGGGGTGGGCAGGTGTTCCCATGCATGAGGTGGTGGGCAGGGCAGAGGATGCTCCCTGGGCACCAGGCTGTTGTTAGTGGCATGCTGAAGGGATTCCCGGCTTTGTCAACGACTCGTGGCATTGCTGTGAGAGCAGGAAGGGGTGGAAGGACCAAAACAAAACGGGAAAAAACATTATAAAGTAAAACAAAACATCTTTCTCTGAAGCCACTGACCAGGCGCTCCGTTTGGGCAAGTTGGAATGTGGTTGCCACTTTGTGAAATGCCATATGGGTGGCTTGCTATGTGTCTGCAATAAAAACCCTCGGTGCAATAAACGAAGAAAAAAAATATATAAAAGTTTAAATTTTATTGGGTGTAAAGCTCTTAAAGAACTGCTGCTCTCTAAGAGTATAAAGATTGCTGAGTCTCAGCGTAGTACCCCGACTGAAACGTGTTAGTCCTGCTGTTTTCTTCCTTTAACTGTAGCAATTTGCTTTCTTGCTGTTCGTTAATCCTCGTGAGTGCGGGGGGAGGCAGCCGGGCCTCACCTGCAGGCGATGGGAGCGGGTGGCTGTCCTGCCTGGGCAGAGGTGGTCTGGGGACCCCTGGGTTCGAACTGCAGTAGGAGAATTGTCATCAGCGACCAGGGATGGGGGGAGAAGAAAGGGAACAAATAGGAATAAACTATCACATAAACAGTCTTAAGTCACGGTGCTTGCCGCTAACAGATGCAGTTAGGTAAATGCTGTTACCTCAAGAGGTGTTATCTTCTGGGGATCCTTATCATAATTTTGTTTTAAATCCGAACAGCTGTTGTTTAACTACCACAGACCACAATTTATCTACAGCTTGAGGCCATAAAGGTACCTTTATTACACTCTCTCCTTTTTTTTTTTTTCCATTTGATTTAATTTCAGTGTGTCTGACACCAAAATGCTATATACAATTTGCATATTACAATATGCACTACTGCAGATTCCATGCGCTGCTAAATGGGAAAATCGGAGAGGGATGGTAAATGGGTAAAGCTTGCAGTGACAAATAAAAGAGGAAGACGAGCTCCCATGTTTCATTTACATGTAAAATATTCTGACAATAGTTGTTTCTCCAAGAACAAAGAGCTGGTTTTTCTAGGGTGACTGGTTTATGATGGCTGCAAGAAAAAAAAAGAAAAAGGATGTTTTTTCTGGCACCGGAACAGAAGCATGCTTATCTGAATTGAGCCCTGGGGCTTGCCATATAATTGGAATAAAACTTAAGTCTTACTTAAGAAACCAACAAATATGGAAGCAGCAACCATATCCAAAAGGAGCAGCCACTGTGCGTGAAGACTGAAAATCACCTTTCTGCAGGCAGTGTCCTGTGTGAAGTTGGAATCTTGAGAAGAGGAAAATGTGGCAAAATGTAGCTTTGTTTGGGGCATCTGGTGTTTTGCAGTGGATTTCTAAAACTTATTATCAGATGATGAGGGAAAGGCATAACAGGCGTTCTGTCGTGTGTGGTGTGCATGGGCAGTTGTGGCTCTTAGAGGGTATCCTTCAAATTTCTGCAGTTCCATGCCCAACAACCTAGGGAGGGTATCTTCCAAACCCAGTTTACCACTTCCAGTCATGCAAGGAAATTTGTCTGCATGTACTTGAGTTTCTCACAATTGCAATGCAGGAAATGCTTATTGCCTCTCTATGTACTTCCCTTTGCCCTCAGGGAACAGGGAGACCTTTGCCTATGGAGTTGTTCATCCAGCAGCTCTTACTGATGCACAAACAGTGCTGAGAAATGCTCCCCAAATGAAAAGTCGGGAGAGAGAATTTGGATAGACCTTTACACTTAACCCCAAAACCTCCAGCGTTCTACTTCATATTAGTTTTTGTTCAGAATAAATAATAGTAATGACAACAGAATTAATTATGTGTATAACAGCTTGATGACAAAACATAATTCACCACCTGTGCTATCCTTCCTTCATGCTAGGTGGGAATATGAAGGCTGAACATGTCTCTGGGACTTGGGAGTGGGGCCTATGTTTTGAACTGTTTTTTTTAAACGCGGTATACATAATCTTTTGGCACTTATTAAAAAAAATATACCATAACCCAGGGAAAAAGTTGACCTTTCATATTATGACATCCATCGAGGAACATGAGACTGTTTAGCTTGGCTTCTCAAGGGCAAGCATGGAGGAAACCACCTGGTGGGGTGGAAGTAGGCAGTGGATGCATGACTGCTTAATGACCACTTCTCAGTGCAGTTCTTGGGCGCTGCTGCTGATTAGCCTGGCTTCATCTCCTTACACAGTGCTTAATAACAGTATGGGCAGAGTGGACATGCTATGCAGATTTTATTCATTTCCTTTGATCCCCCTCAGATATGTCCTTGTTAATCTGTTTGTTTCCTTGTTTTGGAAAACTGGAGAAATCAGGAAGGGACTGCAAAGAACCACCAAAACACTGTGTTAATGTAGCAGTGGAGTTTGCAGCATGGAGCACTTCTCCTTGCAGATGTTATGCAGTGCTTAATGTCATAAAATAATGAATGGTAGTGGGACATTTTAAAGGATGTGAGGGTATGTAATGGTGGCTAGTGTCTCTTGAATAGTATTGCTCCTGAAAATACAAATACACAAAATATATTGTCTAGAATTACATGGCAGGAGCAAATAAACAGTTAATTGACTGTTCTGTAATTAATTCTACATGCGTGAAGTGCGATACTTACGGGACTTGCCAAAGTGACATACACACTTCACAGTCATCTCCTGGTGCCTTTTCAGGTGTGGAGGATTTTGGTAGTCTTTGTAGCTCTGGAGAGTAATGAAATTGTTATAATTTATTCCTGATCTGCTGTTTTTAAGACTGTTTTTTTTTTTTTTTTTTTTTTTCCTACCCTCTTTTTTGAAACAAAATCTTTTTCATTGTCTCATAGTCCGGAGGAAAAAATAGTACAGCTGCTGTTTGGAAGCTCTATTATTCTTTGATACAGTGGAATTCTTTTCAGTTGCTTCTTGTCTGATTGGAATGGTTTATGCTTCTTGCTGTGTATTAATCTTAAGCACAGGGTGTGACAGTAACATATCCCAGTGGGCTGCAGACTGAGTGAAGGTACAGATATGTACAGAGACACAGATGAGGCCTTTGACTATCTGGCACCTGATTTTCCCCACCTTTAACAGCATATGCTGTAATTCCATAAACCCGGTGAAATGCTTGTTGCCATCATGCTGGGTAAGTAGCTCAAAACTCAGAGCTGCACATGTAGGAATATGGATGAGATCCTTCAAAATGAGTCCCGGCAACAGTAAATTCTTGACCTGGCTCTGTCTCATGGTTTCAGCAGTCCCCAAAGCTGTGGATCTCTGGACTTCATCCAAGTCTCTGAAGTCAGCTGTAATCTTTTCCAGTGCTGCCACAAAAAGCATCTGTAGTTTGGTGACACAACAGGAGTGTTTCAGACTGCTGAAACCAGGCTTGGGAAAGGAGCTCAGGGGAACTTGTGTGTGCACAAGGTGTGTGTATGTTCTCCAAGTATGCAGCTTGTGCTACGTGGATGTGGAGGTCATCGGGAAGCTTTATAATATGGACTTTGGAATCTCCAAAATGTCATTTGTATTTTACCTTATTAAATATGGAGATCATGTCAAAGGTAAATGTCAAGGGTCTATAAAATTACCCTTCTTATCTCCTGTATGTTTATCAGTTGATAAATGGAAGAAAGCTAGTGCCAAAATAACTGTGAATGAATAATTTATAAATGACTAATGCATCGTGTGTGTTGTTTCAGGCAGAAAACAGTGGGACATCAATAATCAAAAGAAGTTGGATTAATTTAGCAGTATTTTGCAGTTAATATTGTTATCTAAATGCTGCAGTCTGGACCTTTGTCATCAGGAGATCCTTCTTTTTGTCGCTAAAAACTGATCCACAGATCACTGAAATCAATAGCAGTCAGCTGTTGACTTCATCAGGCTGTGAATCAAATCTATAATATGCATATCTAGCTCTTCTTTTTCTTACTGCTTACATAGATTCTTGATTTTGAATTTCTTTACTGTTGTTCCATGGGATGGAAGTTAGTTCATCAATTTCCTCCATCCCTGCGTGCCTGTGGGTTGAGTGTCCTTGGCACAAAATTTGGTGAACTTAATGGAACAAGGATGGGGGAAATGTGACTGATGAAAGAAATAAAAATCTGCTCTCGTATTTTGGATACTTGTGTTTCTGATTTATACAAGTGAAACTGATTTCTTGCAACCTATGCAAGACAGGCTTTTTTTTTTTTTTTTGCTTTTTTTTTTTTTTTTCCCCAGCATGTATTTTTCACATTCCTACTCCCCAGTAGATAACATTTGACAGATTTTCAGCGCTGGCCGCTGCGAATAAGGTTAAGCACTGAAGAAGTGAACTAGATTTTCTTCCTATTCCCTTCCATGTGATTTAAATATGGCCCATTTTGCCATCACATGACAGAGCTGCCAGAGATTGCCTCAAGGTAGTTTATGGCTTTAACTAAAGGTCATCTTATGGGGGGGAGGAGGGAGAATCCCGTGGAGTAGGGGGAGGGGACAAATGTATTTTTAAAATACATGCATTAAAAACAAAAGCTATTAATCATTCATTCGGGTGATACAAATGCAAAAGTGAAGCTGACTTTGTATCTGAGTGAATCACTTAGGGGAAAGAAAGCCACCAATAACAATAAATGCTCTTCTTCTCTCCCTCCATCCCTCCCTCCCTCCTTCCCCACAGCACGGTACCTCATGAAGGAAAGGTGTGCGGAGTGGTTGCCTTGATTTCGGTCTGCGGCTTTCGGTGCCTGACCTACATATCTGGCTAGCAGCTCACCGCTGCAGAAAATGCCCTCCTGCAAAACTTCTATCCCACTGGCTGCTAATAAGAGCAATTCTCACGTAGCACTGCATCCATCCCAACAATGTAATTGGTCTGGCTCTCCCAGCCGGGATCCGTTCCTCCTGCAGGCCCACGCTGCGCAGAGAAATCCCAGACCTCCCGAGGGCTGAGGGGCTCCGAAACCGTGCTATGTTATCAACAGCTACATGGTTAGCTAACTGCTGTGACTAAATGGAGATTGGGAAGCACTGCAGGCGAGGGATGAAAAGTGATGCCCTCCCATAGCACAAGGCTGATAATGCAGAATTGGCCAAAACAACGAAACTTCACAGACAGCGCAGCAGAAGGCTTTGGCTCTCTTGTTTGGGCATTTTATTACCTGGAGCAAAATGTGCAGAGAAGGGAGATAATGAAGTACTTGACTAATTCAGTGTGATCCAGCTGGCTAAGCCAGAGGGCCTGCAGAGCAGGAAAAGCTACAGAACTCACTGCTAGCCATTTTCCCTTGGTACCTGTGAAGCCAAAACAAAGAAGTGCAGAGATAAAAAAAAAAACCTGAGCAATATCAATATCGGGAAAGGGGGAGAGGGACAACAAAAAGGGAGGAGAAACCACTAAACTTCCCCTTCCTCTCCCTTCTGCTCTTTATCTAATAGGGGGAAAAATGTTACTTTCATTGCTTCGTGACATCTTCTGATTCCCTTGAGAAATTCACTGAATTCCCAAATGTTTAGCACCCTGTTTGCTGCAATGCTCAATGCCAACTTGAGGTTTTTTTTTTGGTTTTTTTTTTTTTAATTTAACTATTATCTACCTTTTGTGTTCAGGAAAAAGACAGACAGATGCATTGTAGCGCCTTCACAAATCCGTGTTCAACCCATGGCCTAAAAGGCTAGATTCTCTTACCCATGGGGAGACTAGAAAATGTAAAGAGTGTACATTCCCCTCCCCAGCTTCTAGCCACTGGTGCATTTTCACCACTGCACTTTTTTTCTCTGACAGCCTGGCTATTTAAGCAGACGAGATGCATTGCTCCCTCTCTGCCCTTCCCTTCCTGCTCCCTGCCATCCTCCCTGTGCAGTTCCAGCTGCCCTAGCAAGCTGTTCCCAGAACCGGAGCGTGACGCTAGCAAGAAGCTGGCAGAGAATCAAAGGTGGCTACTATGCTTATTTAAATATCCAAGGCCAAACTTTGTACCTGATGTAACGCAGCAGCAATGCTGGGAGAGGAAATAGAGAAATACCCACCTTTGTGCAGGCAGAATTTAGCCCATGCTGCTCATCGTGGCTGCCAGGGAATGAATCACTGCTGACCAGCCCGCCTGCCAGCCGCTGCTCACACCATTTTTTTTAACAGGCGGCAGCAGACACTGCGCATCACTGCGAGATGAGCATCACAAACATGCTTTGCAGGGAAGGCGACCACAGCAGACTGCCAATGCTCTACCAGTGCCAATTATAGCGACGCTTTAATCGTTAAATCTGCTTCATGAAAACGGGATCAGAGCCAAAGTGTTTGTGATTTGGAGGCTTGTACTAACTTTTGGTAGTTACCATCAGGGGCAGCTGATGTGACATCACCCTACAACTCTATGTGACTCTTATTTTTAATGGCCCACATGCCTCTACATGATAATTTTGCTGCTGGTGTTTGCTTGGCATTAGCTCGAGAGACAGCAACACCAACAACCAACTGTGAAGATGTGTTGGACATTTGCAGTTGTTATAGAAATTGGAGGCAATGACTGGAGCTTGCTCCCTCATACCTCTAAAATGGAAATGCCTATTTGCTACCTTCTGCCTTGAAGCTAACAAAAAGGAGTAGTTGAGATAGCTGCTCTCTGACAATGTGGATATCAAGATTCAAGAAGCCTCGTGCAGTTTTATTTTTAAGTTCTCCAAAAACACATTTTACTCTCAGAAAACATTCTCAGTATTAGAAATGTATGTTGCCTGCCTATTTCTTCCATATGGTGCTGTTGAGACCAGAAGTGCCTGGATAAAGCCTCACACTGGGTACTCCTGGGTGCTGGCAGTCAAGGGCAAAACAGGGAACATTGGCTTGCGATCGTGCTCTACTGTGGTATGGCTGGGATTTTACTGTAGACAATTTATGTGTTGTAAGCTCCTTTTGGGAAGGGAGTTAAGACTTTTATTTAGATCTTATAGTGGAGATGTTTCGACGTCTAAAGTTTAAGCTACCATTTATATGACATGAAGGTTACTCGATGGTGTCCGTTGCCTAATCAGAAGTATCCATGTGATGCAAATGAGCAGCTGCTCATACATAAGTCATGAGTTCAAAGAGTCATTGCGATCCTGTATCAATACAACTATCAATAGTGGTAATAAAAATTATTCAGACAGAGCCTCTTAAGGCACTGCTGGATTTAGCTATGCAGGAAGAAAGGGAATGTGCCTCTCCCTGGAGAAATGATAACCTGGAGCTATGTTGTGCTTAGAGAAGGGGAAAAAAATGGCAACAAGCTTATATTCCTGCTGAGGAAATGGGTATGACTTGATCTGAAAATGTATGTGTATATGTACATTAAAGCATCTTTCTATAGGTGATTTGCTGTATTGCTACAACTGCCAAGTGATAATTTCACAAAGAGGTCATATTTCAGAGTTTGGTCCCAGTAGACCAATAATCATGATCTTTCCTGCTCTTTGAAAGCTTGAGCCTCCATGTTACTCTAGATTAAATCTGTGAACCGTTACAATATTAAAAACCAAAGCTGATATGATAAGACTTTAATGAAGTGTTCAAATAGGAGTTAATTAGACAGCCTCATACACTCTTTGGTCAGGATTGTGTCCATCTTGGTGGTCCCAGGGACCAGGCAAGACCCATGCAACAGCATGAGAATTTAAAGTTGGAATAGATATAATCGATCAGTAAAGATCAGAGGGATGGATCTGAGAAAGGGAAAGCTTGTGTTGCCAGCTCCTCCTTGAATGCAGCTTCCTTTCCCATCCTTTGCAGACTGGAAGCACCACAGGTCCCAGCGTGCACAGCTTGCTGGGAGGGCTTTTTCAGCAATGCAAAGCACTGAACAGGAGACCCCAACAGGAGGCTGCTAGAAAAAATTTATTGAGGGTTTGATGCTATGCTTGTTATAAACAAGCAAGCCTGGCTCCTGTTATCCCTGCATGCTTTTCTAGGTGAGATTTTCCCTGGGTGTCTCAGAGCAAAGTGGTATCAAATCCTCACCTGGAAACAGTGGTGGGAACTGCTGGAGAAAGCAGCATTACCAGTGCCTGGGTCACCTGAGGACTTGTGAGGGTCAGAGAGACATCAACTGGATGAAAGCTGTGTGCCCTGCCTTGTGTCTCTAAATGTTACACTCATGTTTAGATAACTCACAGGTCAGTTGTTCTTCTATTTTGAGCATGCAGCAAACCATGCTGAGACAGCTTGTAAAGCATGTGACTGATTTCCCATTTTTTTTTTCCCACTCCTCTCTTCCTGCTGCTGCTGCTTTCCACGGTGCATGGCTTCCCGTGGCAACTAGGAATGCTGAGAAAATAAGCAGAAAGTAATGGCTTCTGCCTGTGTTCTGGCTGTGTTTTGGGGTGCAAGGCAAACACTTCCCATTCCCTGCTTTGGCAGAGAGCTCCAACTGTAGCTGCAACTCTGCAGCAGGAGAGTGGAGGAGGGGAACTGGAGAACCAATTCCTAGGAGCACATGCACTGCTTCAGACCTTTTCTACCTTCTTTGTAACCTCTGTCTTCCAGCCGTGGCTGCCTGCTTGCATTAATTACTCCTTGCTCCCTAGATGCACTCACTTCAAGTTACCTGTAGGGTTCAGAGTGCAGAAACCAACTGACCAGGGTTGAAAGCAATTAACAAACAGGTTATTTAAAATTAATGACTTCTTTTCACCAGCTGTCCAAAGCTGTTTTTTCTTTTTCTTGCCTTGTTCATTTTGAACTCAGTGAAAAGAGGAATTGGAATTCCTTTTGCCATTGTGATGCCTTTTGCCCTTTCTTTTGTTAGTTCAATACTAAGCACTTCCAGCTTTAGATTTAAAACGAGTGTAGAAATACACAGAGTACCTAAACGAACCCTAATGGTATAGGATATTGAGAAAGAGTGGTTCTTTTCTTCTACTAGCTGTCTCTCACTAGATCAAGAGGGGTTTCTTTGTGAATGGCATATTGAGATGCCAGTGCCTTCTTGCTGTGTTGTCTTGCTATCATTCCTTCCGTCTACACTATTATGCTTTGTGGTATGGACCCTCACTGATTTCCTTACAGCTTTGCTGGGAGCTGGATTTGTATCCATCTACCCTCAAAATGCAAGGAAGCATATAATGCTGACATTTAATGCTGTAAGAAGCCTTCTCTTTTCTGTGGGCTTTAAGCTTAGGCCTATCCCACCTGTGAGAACAGCATGAGAAGGAACTCACGCCAGTCAAAATACAATTGTTTTAGGTGTCCAACTTAACTCCCTAATAAGCATTCTCATGTAGCTTCAAGCCATTAAACCCCACTGTGTCAGGTTGTTTCTCTGGTAGGACTGTATGAGATCATCCTGTTGACTCATTGATCTCAGCCTTGGGAAATGTTTTCCAACAGTTTAGCTCAGGTCTACCTCTGAATTCTTATTCCACAAGCTCTACCCCTTTTTGCCATGCTAAACCAGTTTTCTCCTACTTCAGTGCATCTCTTTAGAGGCATCTACATTGTTATGCTTTTCTCAGCTGTAGTGCTAGCCAGACAGAACCTCTAGGGTACAGCTGGGCATGTGACAGCAGTTCTGTCTGGGGAAATAATTGCCCCATTGATGCTGACCCCAGCTCAGACTGTGTAGTGCTCAGGGTCCAGGTTGTGGTTGCTTTTGGTGCATAAGCAGGCAGGTTTGCCTAGCCTACCTTCAATAATCAATTATTTTGTCTCACCTTCTTAAATTGCTCTGTGTGCTTTACCAGAGAATTTCTGTTTCTTGCCTTTTGTCCGCTTTTCATCTTCGCTGGTTAGATCTGCTAACTCTCCCAGTTATTCTGTGGCTGTTTTGTATGAACTCCCTCCAAATTGCTGCTAGTTTTTGTTTACACAAAGCACAGAATTGAGCTTTTTTTTTTTGCTTTTTTTTTTTTTTTCCATAGTAGAATGCACCCGATCAGTACAGATAAAAACCATTACTTTCCTGTTACTTGCTGTCTCTGCATATGCAGCCTAAAATTGTAGTGACCTTTTTTGCTGTCAGACTGCATTGTGGGCTCCTGTCTAATTTACTATCTGCTACTGACCCTCAGTCTCCTGCCCACTGCTGCTTTCTGGGTTTGTTCTGGAGTGTGTTTTTTATTTTGTTGTAAACTATGGTTTCTTCTGAGTTGAATTTCATTTTGCAATTTTTCTGGCGATAGGTTTTGTTTCTCCAGATATCAGCTATCTGTTGTTACTGGATTTTTGATTCCCTTGGGTCTCCTATTCTCCATAAATTTAATTCAAAGAAATTAAATGTTTTAAGATGATTCTTTGAGAAAGAAACAAGAAGTTTCAATTCCCTGCTTGTGTTATTTTGCTGACTTTTTGCTTGCATCTTCTACATATAAACATCATTAGAATAGTTAACAAGTGCTGATAAATGGAAGATGAGTGACAGGTTACCACTGAAGAGGCAAATTTGAGAGTCATTGGCTGTATGATGATAATTGAATCCCCTTGAGTGGATGAGATCACCTACAGCACTGTGAAAGTGGAGCAGGTGAGCAGAGCAGAGTGCTGGAGAACTGCTGAGGGACCAAAATCCAGCGGTCTGGCAAGGAGCTACAAAGAGGTGCTGGCAGACAATCTGGGATTGATGTAGAAATGTTGGGAAAGTATGAAATGATGGAGAGGATTTTTAGATAAATGGAAAAGTACTTTTATCTGCTGTGTTGTTAATTCAGCGTTGGTCAATACAGTGCCTGCCTTAAGGTGAAGACAAAGCAGTGTGTGCTTTTTCTATGGAGCAAACATCTTGTTGATGTGCTGCTACTGATTTAGCTGGCTTTAAACCAATTAAGCCTCACCTTGTTTTCTCTAGCACAGTCTCTTTTCTCCTGTGAAGACTGAAGATACGATTCATCCTGGTTCATCTTCCAAAAAGTCCAGGAGGAAAGGGAATTGATTTACACCAGCTTTTTGCTCAGAAGATTTATTATTCTGCTATCACTAAAAAGTACTCTGAACATACGGACTTATTTGAACCCTGCACACAAACTCCACAAGGAAGTTTCAGATGTTCAGGTCCTCCTGAATTTATATTCAGGAATTCTCGCAGTACTAGTAATATGAAATGTGTATTAAACATGGGTGTTGAGATAAAAGAAACTGACTTGGGAGTTTTATTTCAGTGGTTTAACAAACTCCGAATGTTCTCTCGGATTTCCTGGCAGTGCTCAGATTAACAACTGTTGGTTGAGCTAGAAAAAATTAACCTTGTGCTGTTGATCTTGGAGAAGATATGGTCACTGTGTGCCAGCTCAGGAGCTGGTCTGAAGAGTGCAAATTACCCTAGCTTTATTCTTGGCATGTCGACTTTGCTCTTCATCTGCCTGCTATTAAGGTCAGTGGTACAACATGGCAGGGTCTGTGGCCAGCACAGTAACTTCAGTAGTAACACTGTACAGTGGATATTTCTATGAGACATACTTGTGCTATCAATAAGGATTTTCTTCTCTGTTTTTTGTTTTTTTAAGAGATTTCACCTTTGTGCAGATTTAATAGCAAAGCAGTAAACAGTGAGAAAAAAAAATGGCCTTATTAAAAACATAGTAAATGGGTTAGGAAAAAGAAGGTGTTGTCAAAAATTCGGGCCTTTAATGTTCCCCAGAAGTTCCTGATCACGTGAAGAAAAGATTGTGAACTTAGATACATACAACTGATTTTTGACAGGTTCAGATATCTTCTAATCAGTGCTTTCTGAATTGTCAGAGCTTTATATTGCACTTGACAAAATATGAAGGGCCCTGTACAGCTGCATACAGTCTTGTGGCCAACAGCTGGAAGATGGATGCAGTAAGCTGCTGTTCCAGTTTTCATTTCTGTCACGGAGTTGATCAGATCAATCTATGTCCGCGACAGGGGGTGACAGGCCTCCGCCCTCCCCCCCCCCCCCCACCCCAATCCCACAAAAAAATGGGAAGGAAGGAAGGGAGGAAAAGAACAGCGGCAACAATCTATGGAGGAAAACTTATTTTACTACAATATTGGAATACAAAATAACACAATATATACGATTTAATTGAAATTGAGATTAATAAATCAGACAAGATGAGAGAGAGAGAGTTCCCGGGACCGATTCAAACCTGAAAAGCTTGGAACGGCCAGGAAAGCACCCTCCAGCACCCACTGCCAGGCAGCAAGAGAGCCCCCCCCCACCCGGAAGGGCCAGATCCCGTGACTGCTGTAATGTACAGGGATAGGTAGCTGGGATTGGGGCAGTGACACTTCAATGCCCCGTACACTACATGATGTTTTGATGTGGAATACTGAAACCCAAAAAACAAAAAAACAAAAACAAAAACATAGAACCATGACAATTTCTTATCTTTACTACAGAAGATATGGGACTATCTTCATCCTGGGTGTAACTCAGTAAACATTTTCCACACCTGAAGAGTCTTGAAAGATGTCTGTCCTGTCTCCTGGAGATGTGACTACTGAATAGTTTAATAAAGATGTTTACCCTTGTCAGGGTGCCTGGTGAGAGATGTGATGTGCAATCAGGCAGAACCAGATAGTGCTCTGAAACTCTGTCAGCTGAGGGGCTGATCCAGTGCCCGATCCAGTGCCTACTTAGCAGCTTCCCATTTTCCTCAGCTGATATTCCCCATTCACTCAGAGGCCAGCTGCTTCTGCACAAGCTTTTAAAGAAAAGCAGGAGTTTAACTTTTTTCCCCCTGAAACTGAAATTAGAATGCTTTTTTGTATGATACTTACGTGAGGCTGCAATTTGGGGTGTCTTAGCCATGTTAATAATGGCTCCTGCATCTCTTGTTTTTATATGGCAAGATTCATAGATCATGGCCTAATTTTGATCTCATTTACTCCTGATGTTAGGTTGTTTACACTCTGTAGAACTTGCTGATTTACTCTGGAACAAACAGCAGTAGAATTGATGCCAGCTGCTTATATGATGCATTAGGATGTGCCATAGGATGTAAAATCACAAGGCCTAAATGAGAGATTTTAGTTATTGAAGATGTGCTTTGCACGTACCTTACTGTAGAAGTTGTCCTTCACAGCCTCTGATTGGGAAGGTGGAAGATCCATTTCCATGCAAATTGTGCAACTTGTGCCAAATTATTACAGATAGATTTATGATACAGAGAAGAGACTGAAAGGAAACTGTATGTCAGAAATGAATTAGAAGCCAAGAAGGAAAAAGAAATGTAAAACACTTGGGCTGCCTGTATCATTTAAATATTTTAAATAGGAAATCATATTTCACTTGCTCAAGGCCTTGGTGTAGGGAACATACTTAAACTGATTCTTAAATTTAACGTGAGCACTGAGGTACTTGAAGAACAGCTTTTCCTCCAAGCAAATGTAGAGTCTTGCACCTGGGGATGAATAACTGCATGCATCAGTACAATTGTAGGGGATGACCTGCTGGAGAGGAGCTCTGAGGAGAAGGACCTGGGGGTCCTAGTGGAAAACGGGTTGGCCATGAACCAGCAGTGTGGGCTTGTGACCAACAAGGCCAATGGTCTTCTGCGGTGCATTAAAAAGAGAGTGGTCAGTAGGTCAAGGGAGGGGACCGTCCCCCTCCACTCTGCCCTGGTGAGGCCACATTTAGACTACTGTCCAATTCTGGGCTCCCCAGCCCAGAATCCCCCCAAAATGGGGATTTCCTGAAAGGAATCCAGCAAAGAGTGACAAAGGTGATAAAGGGCCTGGAGCATCTCCTATGTGAGGAAAGGCTGAGGAACCTGAGTCTGTTCAGCCTGGAGAAAAGAAAACCGGGGAGATCTCATACATGTTTATCATATCTCAAGGGAAGTGGGAGGCAAATGGTTGAGACCAGACTCTTCTTGGTGTTGCATAGCAATAGCACAAGGAGCAATGGCCTAAAACTTGTACAGAGGAAGCTGCTTGCAAGCATATGGAAGAACTTCTTTACAGCAAGGGTGAAGGAGCACTGGAATAGGTTGCCCAGAGGAATCATGGAGTCTTCTTCTATGGAGATATTCAAGATCTGTTCGGATGCCTACCTATGCAATCTATTGGAGGGTACCTGCTTTAGCAGGGGAGTTGGACTCGATCTCTTAAGGTCCCTTCCAACTCCTGTGATTCCGTGATTCCTCTGGTGCTTTCTCTGGATTGGTTTTAAGATTTCAGGGAAATGTTGCCAACAGTATGTGGTTGTATCATTTACAAATAGCGTTTATTAGGGAATAATCCACAATGCTTTCATCTTTTGTATTATTTAAATACTTGCAAAGTGCACTGGCTAGAAGCATTATTTGGTGGGGTGATTATATGGTATGTACTTTTGAAAGAACAGAGATGAGTAGCATATCTTCTTGAGTGAAGGGTGAGATTTCCTTGTGCTTGCCTCTGTGTGTGTGAGAATTTGACTGAATTTTGTTGTATTGAATAATTCTAAAAAATTGAATTCCAAGCTGGCAGATCTCAATATTTTCATGAGATGGAGCACATTCTCGTCCTTACAAAGAAGGAACTAGACAAAACAATTCTACACAGTTGAAGCCACTCAAACTTTATATGCTTTTTTTTTTTTTTTTTTTGGTGCATGTGTGTGAAAGCATAAAACAAAATGCAAACTGCTAAAAATCTATAGGGAAGAAGACTACCAAGGGAAAATCAACTCTTCTGCAGTAAATTTTACAAGGATCCTTTTCCTAATGCAAATCATATGTGTGTAGAGAAAACACTGAAAGTATTTCATCTCACATGTTCTAATTCTTATTTACGACCTCTGTTACAGACAGTCAGACCCTTTTTCCTAATGCAATCTATGTCTCCAGTCAGACCAATGACACCCACCATACTTGTGACAAACTGCAATCAATAGAATTTCAAGAATTTGTTCTGATTGTTAGCAGCAACATCTGGGGTGTAAATACTGGTAATATGGACAGCATATATCCTTGCTCTATGAAACAAAGTGTTCTGGGAGTTTTGGATGTAAGAAGGTATTTCCAAGGCTCTTCCTGTGTGGTTCCAGCAATACCTCCAAGTCAGTCCTGCTGTATGAGAGGTGCAGGCGCTAGCCCAGATGTACACAGCAACTGACCTCCTGGCCAGGACATGCCAGATTACTGGCTTGATGGAAAGAGTGCAGTATGGCTAAATTTAGACTCAATGGGAACATTAATCTGAGCCTTCCCCTCCTACCATGTTGTTGCATTACATGAATCGTGTAGGAATGCATGAGATGTCAGCTCCTCTTTCAGATTTGCTGAAACTAGGTTCAAGTATAGGTTGGGGGATAAGAAAATATTTAGCAAACCAGCAAAGCTGGTCCATTTTTTTTCAAGGAAAGTGGGCTGTTTGTTATTTTTTTTTTTTTCCTCTCAAAGCCATTCTGTGCTAAGGAGGTCATGATGATAAGAATGGTACAAAGTTATCACTCCTGCTCATTCACTGTAAATGATTCTCTTGACTTAAGTCAGACTTTAATGCGCTTGAACGACTGCACCTCCCACGCTGTGCTGCTCTGAGTGGAAGTGGGTGTGCAGGAGATACTCTGCTTTCCCAGTTTCATTTTCTCTTCTAAGCCAAAGCCTTTGTTAAATCTAGGAATTGTCGTAGACTGATTTTATGAAGGATCATAAGAAGTTAGAGTTTGCAGAGGCCAATTAGTTCTGCTCTGTCTCTCTGCCAGTGTAGAGCTGTAGTATGCAAAGTAATTCCTAGTGCTTTGTCTAGCTAATTTTTAACGTGGGCCTGGAGTGTTTTCACAGTTGAACAAAAGTCTTTTTTTCCTGATGTTCAGCCTAAAATGTTCTTACTCGCTTTCATCCCATGACCTCTTGTTATACTGCCATGTACCACACTCAGCAGTTTGATTTGCTTTTTGGTGTTCACAGCATGTAGGTGCATGTGGAAGGTCATTGTATTTTGGCTGTATGGAGTTTCTTTTTAAAAAAGGAAGGTCAGAAATATGTGCCGTTGAACCCCTACTATGTGATATACAATCAATTACACTGCTTGGAGGAGTACTGGTGACAGACTTTGAAGGCTTAACAAGTCACTTTGTTGAAATGAGCTGGTTTTTTTTCATGTATTATTCCATGTTCTCCTCACCCCTGTGTTCACAGTATGAGCCAGCCTTTTTTTAGCCTCTCCTTATTTCAATTCTTTCTCTCTTCACCACCCAGCTCCATAATAAACTGTAACAAGGCAAAGACGTACACACAGTAAATCGCTTCTTTTGGCAGAGCAGGAAAGTTTGTGCTTTCTTTTATAATCCTCTTTACGTATTCCAAATTAATTTGTTTCCGCAGCTTTTCTCCTTTGTATATTTTCAAAAGGAATCTACTGTCTGTTACCCTGGAAAACTGCTGTCCTGTACACACTGTGCAGAAGATATCTGCTCAGCCCTACATAATCTCCCTGGTTTTACCACTGTCTCCTCTGCTTTGTGTTAGAGGATGCAATCAGATGAAATTTGGACCAAAAACCAGCCCCCAAGTTCTTGTGAAGCCCAGGAGTTTTCTACTAAGTTAAGTTTTAAATAAATAAATCTGAAACCACAACTAATGTATGTCATTTCAAATAGATATTTTTAACAAATGCAGGCATAAATATGAATTCATACTTTCAAATCCGCTATTGCACTGTCAAATATCTATTTGAAAATGGTGATAAACAAGCAAAACTGATTAGTCTGCTTTCTTGTTTGAACAGGAGATGCATATAGAAGCAAAACAAATGATGCTCATAAAACTGCGTTCTATTCCATTGCACTGACCAAATATTACTTGTTTTATACATTCTTATCATCTTATTGACACTGATCCTCCTCTGGGAGACAACTCAAAAGCCTGATTCATAAATGCAGTTCCAAGTAAAAAAAAAACCAATGATATCAGGTCTTTAATTAAAGTTAGAAAAGAGCACTGAGCTCATCTAGTCCAACCATCAACCCATCCCCACCATGCCCACTAACCATGTCCCTCAGTGCCACATCCACATGGTTCTTGAGCACCTCCAGGTACAGTGACTCCACCACCTCCCTGGGCAGCCTGTGCCACTGCCTCACCAGTCTTATGAGAATACATTTTTCCTAATGTCCAATCTGAACCTCCCATGGTGCAACTGAAGGCCATTACCTCTAAATATCTGAATGCCTGATGTCACTGAGTTATCAGTCCTTGCAAAGG